TATAAAAAGTTTTTTTAATAATTTTGCTGTAGCTTATAGATGATCGAAAAATTGTTTGTCTATGTTTTACAGGACTTTGGATCAATTTTTTCAACTCTTTTGCCCGGAGCATCAGCCAAATTAATTGCCACCGAAGAGAATGGAATTCTTTGCGGTGTTGAGTTTAGAGTTGGGTTTGGTAATGTTTGGAAAGAATCATTGAGTGAATTGTCTGGAGGACAAAGGTAGAAACTTTTTTTTCAAATGTATTTGATACGTTAAGTTTTTTTAATCATATTTCAGATCTTTGGTGGCTCTCTCATTGATTCTTGCTCTTCTGTTATTCAAGCCAGCACCATTGTACATACTTGATGAGGTGGATGCGGCCCTAGATTTGTCACATACTCAAAACATTGGTCAAATGCTTAAGGCCCATTTCAAGCATTCTCAAGTAGGTCCTTTGTTGCAATGAATTACTTTTGTCTGCAATGTTCAATGTGGTATCTTTTTTAAATATCAAGCTCAATGTTTATAGTAAGCACTGCACTATATCCCTCTTTATTTGTTCTTTCCTTATCATTTAAATCAAAAAAGTAAATAAAGCTGTTCATCACTATTTGAATAAATTGGTATGAATTTGATGGTAGGAAGCAATCCAACCTAGAAAGCGGTCTCTGCCTTACACACAAACTATCATTATTTAAATTAATAATTCAATGCTTAATTTCAATCAATTAAAATATATACTACTTCTGGCTAAGGCGCTTATAAAATAACTTTTTCATACAATTTGTTGATTGCTTAGATAAAATTTAAAAATGGTCTGAACGTAGCTGACTAACATTACCTTTAAATTGTAATTAACGTTCATTTACTTTGCGAGCGATCCTTGGTTTTCGAATAATTTCCATCATTTATCACCCAGCAATACTTTCGAAAACTAACGTCTTGAAAATTTTGAATAAAGGTCAAAATATTTTTAGTCAGTTGTGCCTTGTATAATTTTTAAAGCTTTCATAAATCTAATTCATTAATTTCTTATTGAATTTGATTACAGTTCATCATTGTCTCCCTGAAAGATAGCATGTTTAATAATGCTAATGTGCTTTTCAAGACTAAATTTGTCGATGGCGTCTCAACGATAACCAGGCACACGCAAGAAAACAATGGTAAGAGCAGTTCAGAGCCCGTACAAAAGAAGAAAATTTGATTCCATAACAATGTCCAATTACAAATTGTTTTTTATTTATTTAAGTTCATTTTAATTAAATGTTACAACGCATGTTCACGTTAGTTTATAAATAACAATCAGTAACAAAAAATCATTTTCAAATAAACAATGCAAGTCGCAAAACAATAATTCAGACTAAAAACAATTGATTAGTTCAATAATCGTCTATGTCGATTTTTTTCATAAAGCTCAAGTTGGGTTTTTACTTAAACGAAAAACTCAATTGCCCACGTTGAAACAGGAGTGATCAAAAGTGAAAGAGACTCAATGTATAACAAATATATGATAGATAAATAAAAAAATAAAGCCCGCCATAATGTGAATATAATACATTTTCAACATAATCTGAACATACCTCACCAAGTTTATGATTGGCTGTTTTAGGAATGGTCAAAAACCGATATACTTACATGGAATGCAAGACTAGAAAATTGACTGCTGTAGCCATCTCGAGATTTTTTGACAACTATATGCATGCACACATACACAAATTATATATATATATTAAATAATTATATTAAGAATATATTAATTAAATATATAACAGATTCAGGAAAAAAGCGTGTTGAGTATCTAATAAACATTTCTTCCTGTGTGTTTAATAATTTTGATTGGTGACTGGTTGGGGTTGCCTAACTTCGGCAGGATTGTAGGATTGGTAGTAACCTGTTAGTAAATATTAAGTAAACTTCCAAACTTTTTATTTGCGAAGTTAAGCATAATCATCAACTATAAATGATCTAGATATCAAATGACACATCTTAATAACATTGTTTTGGTTGATGTTTTAATGGATACAGACTAGACTTTATCAAATTCATCTACATTATTGCATTGATTATGTTATCTATTTATAATATGTGTTGAGCATGTCGACATCAAATGAAATGTATTATATTTCAATATAATCAAAACGTTCCCAGGAAAGAAATAACAAATCACTAATAACCAGAATTTCCTGATATTTGAGAATCAGGATATGATGGTGGAACAGTAAATGGCATGAAATCATCAAGTGATCCCCTTCTGTACCTTGCTAACGACATGGTCGTCAGCGCCACCTGCATGTTGTTGCTTTATTATTAAATTGAATATCAAAAGTTGCCAAAGTTGTGGCCAATCTAGGTCGAATGAGTTAATCCAGCTTAGAAAATTTTTAAGATAGTTCAAGTTTGATAAATAAAACAAAATATAAAGAAGTAAGAAAATGTGCCACCCACAAAAACAATACATCATTCATCCAACAGGGTAATTGTTTTAAGCAAGCAAGAAAAGAATACTTACAAAAAT